CAAGGTCACAGTTTATCATAAAGCAACAACTTTTCCCATCGGTTTCTCTTATTTATAGCATTTTTTTATTTATTTTTAAACAAGCGAAGAGTCTCCTGGCTTTGAATTCAGCCCAAGGCAACAATCAGTAAGCTAAAGAGCAGAACATGGCAGGAGTACCTGTGAGATCGCTCTCACCCACCTATGTTTGTCTGGCTGTCTGGCACCTTCCCATCTCACCTTCAGTGTCTACCTGCTGTTTTAATTAACTCCGTACCACAGGGAGCAATTATGCAAGGCAACATTCGTCTCATTTGAAACAGCAAATTAATCTAACCTCAAGCTGCCGAAGGACAGGCGCACCAGTTTGTACTGCGAGCGAGAATGCCAGCACTTCAAATGACAAGTCTGGGTTGTTGTTTTTCCTATAAGCAATGGCTGTTAGCGCAAAAATAAAGACAGAGAGACGACAGGGAACTTTGGGCCCCAATCCCCAACTTTTAGGAAAATAAGGAGGAAATGACTTCATTAAGATGGACAGATAGTAGGCCGAGCATACATGGAGGAGAAAACAATTTGCATACCTCCATCTCCCTCAGGGAGCAAGAGCGGAGAGTGAGGAAGGAGATGGGAGAGTGTGCTGCAGTGCGAGAGGGAGCCATTGAGAAGTAAGTGCAAAGAGAGATGCTACGAATGAGAGAGACAGTCAGACAGAATGTGTTAGAAAGCAAGTGTAAGAGAGTAAGCTAATGAGAGAAAGATAACAGGCTGCAAGGGGAGGGAGGCAGGAAGGGAGGGAGGGAGCTCCGACAGGCAAGAGGAGGCAGAAATTGGCAAGGTTGGGGAGGTGGTGAGAGGATGCCAAACAGTAGGCAGTGTCAAAGTGATACAATCAGGATCTTGTATGTGATGCAACTCATTAAGCGAGGGGCGGGCACCCATCCTCTCCCAAAAAAAGTGCTCCAAACTGCCATCTCTGCCTCTGTCCTCTAATCTGATTTCCTGGATTTTGTTTCACTATTTCAAAACAAAAAACACAAAATCGTTCAATTTCATCAGTTCATTTGGGTTTTGACTAACGGTGCGACTCGAGGCGGCCGTATTTCACCTTCTCACTTTTAATTTGCTGCCGTGTTGCAACGCTGCCTTTCATTCTACAATCTTTAAGACCCTGTAGGGATGAAGAAATAGTTACTTGGGAGAGCCAGCTAACAAGAAATGGAGGTTTGCTGTGGCTAATAAAACTTGTTTTTTTTTGCCTGTGTGCGCATTCCTTTTGACATGTAGGTCCCTCTGGTGGCTGTTAAAACTGAAATATAACAACTCTGGCACGCTTCAATTCTAAAGCTGACAGCTACCGACCAATGGCGTGCACACACGAAGCTTCACATACCCGCTTTAAATGGGAGAGTGCGCTTCAGTAAGCAGTTTGCGGCAAAGTACGAGTTGAAAATTGCCTTCCTCGTCTGCTGGAGCTGCGCCAGACCTGGATCTAAAAACCAAAACACCACCGTCAACCACAGTTATCCTTGTTATCCTCGTGGACAACAAGGAAGAACTAGACAACATGAGAGCTGCCCGTATGTGTTCGTGTCAGAGACGTGGCTGCACATGTGCCTGTGCTTCTGGGCTGACTTTGCATGCGTTTATTGTCGAGTTGACACGAGCGATGGCGGGACGCGTGCGGCTCCATCACTACGGGGACGTCTAACTGGGCGTGTAAGTGGGCTCTCGCTCCATCAGCATCCGACCCGGAGGGGCCGAGAGAAGACGACAGTGATCACAGAGGAAATAGGGAGCAACGGTTCTCAACGTGGGGTCGACAGACAGCCAGGGGCCCTTTTAAAAAAAAAAAAAAAAAAAAAAAAAAAAGGTCCACTGTGGGACCAAAAGGCATAAAGAAGAAGAGTTGCAGTTTCAAGTCAATATACAGCCCGATATCCCAGTTTGTCACAAACATTTGTCGTCGACAGCCGTGATTCCCTAGAAATGTTTGGGTGGCTGGCTTCATGAAATTGTTGAAGAGCATTTGACTACAGAGAAAACACAGTGGCTGTGGTGGATCAGTGGCTGCACACGTGAATCCATACCTGACACAGGAATCCTGAAAGTATTGATCTTTAGCCTGGGTCTCTTTTTTTTTCTTTTTTTTTTCCCAAAGGTAGGTTTGGTCAAGTTTACACTCCTACTGCAATCATGTGGAGCGGCAGAATCTTTTCAACCATTTGTTGTGTAGAAAACTGGGTGTGTCACAGGTGTCAGGTTATTGTTCCAATACATTTACTACAATTCAGCATTACGTCAATGTCAATTGTAATCCCATTTACATGTTAATTTTCCTCCAAAAACACAAGAATGTGGATAGTTTTCTTTCAAATCAAATGATTTTCTTTTACAAATTAGTAGTTGAGCTTCTCCACAATGCTTCCATGACCCCCCCCCCCCTTTGGTTGACACTGATCTGACGCACAGGAATTAGGGGTCACATGAAACCTTTTCAGGGAAGCCCCGATGTACAGCTTTGTAAAGAGAGAAGACATGCTGAGCACCAGACCTCGATAAGTGGCTGAACTGTTGCCAGACTAGAACGCACCTTGATATCTTTGCTTTGTATTTGATGGAGGAGAGCACTGAGCTCAAACACTGCCGTCTGATCAGAGGCCCACGGTGGCCATGCAAGCTGGGCAGGAGTTACACACCTCTTTAATTAGCAGTGCGGGTGAAACAGTCAGCTGTAAAACGCACCACTTTTTCTTTTTGCATCAAGCGAACAGCATGCACTTAAACAAGCCGGGGGAGCAGCGGCAGCCTCGGCGTCTGCACAGTATATACATATATATATATATATATATATAAATATATCTGCCGCAAACACAACACAACTCGCAGCTTTAACGCGCACTTGTTTAACAAACCAGAAGTAAAAGCAGAGCACGGTGAAACAATCTACCGGCAGTTTAAATGTTGCACTGCAGTTCAATGTGTCTCTGCTGCGATGCTTGAAATCAGACATATGTCAATAATAAGAATACAAAGAGCAGCGCCCAAAGCCGCTAAGGCCACTTGACAAAAGTAAAGACGAGGGGGGGGGGGGGGAACAGGGGAGATGAAACACAGTATTGTGTCGCCGCCATGTATAACCGACCAAAGAAACCCCCGCGCAGCGAACCCCCCCCCCCCAAACACCGTGAATCCTTCAACCTTTTAGCGCAACGCGCGAGGGAAGTGAAGCTACACGAACACCAACAATGTGTGCAAGAGAAGAAAGCGGGCTGACAAACCTGACGACGCGAGGACACTTCTTCCACTAAAGCGCTGATGTCCGGAGTTTGTGTGCGTGTGTGTGTGTGTGTGTGTGTCACCTACCAGTGGTGTTTTCTCCCTCCCTCTCCGCTCTGCTCTGCCGTACAGAGAGAGATAGTGCTGATGTTTCCACTTCCTCTTTTCTTCTTCTGCCGTCTGCTGGCTGGCTCGGTGATGCCAGACAGACAGAGAGGATGCACGAAGCCCAGCTGCTCCCTCTCTTTCTCTCGCTGAGTCACCGGTTAACGAGCGAATGGCGACGTTTCATCCGTTGGAAATAAAGAAGTCAATTATGATCATTTTGTTTTAGCAGCTCTGAAGTCGGACAACTTCACTGTGAACTGAATCACAATATGTGTGGGACTTTGATATTTCAATTTAAGGATGATAAGTGCGTTTAATAGGTCTGATTTCCATGAACTGAGTAATACATGAAGTTGTATTACTTTTTAAGTTAAGTTGTAATTCAAAATGGTGTGAGTGATGTCACCCTGCAGTTCAACAGACACATACAGTGTTTATTGTTAGTTTGAATTATTTGTAAAGCAATTTGTAACCCTGTTTTTTTAACTGTATAAATAAAGTTGTTATGATTGTCTTTATTTGGACACATGCTGTTTGATAATGAAGACAAAAGTGTGTTTTGACTTTGTATTGACTTCGTCAGGTTGAAAATCATATTTTGATAACTATTGTGTTTTCTTAGGCAGGGAAAGGATGTCACATGTTTGTATGGCGCCGTTCAAAAACATAAAACATCAAATAGAACTCACACAAAATCTACTAAATATGGCAAAATTAGAAATACACATAAACAGGGTTTTAAAAGAATTGTAAGACAATATATAAAACGACAGTGTTCACAAATGACATTTGGGAAGTTACAATTTGACATTTTGTATTAATTCAAGTGTATATATATATATATATATATATATATATATATATATATATATATATTGTTGCTAAGTGTTCGATCATCACTGTGAGAAAGAGCCAGACCACAACCACAGCATTAGTGGAAAGCACAGTTTGGACCTGAATTGCTACCAAAAATCTAATTTAAACCAAACATTTAAGCACTAGTTACTATAGTATTATAGCAGATTGACATTAAGGTTTCAAGAACTGTTAAACGTGTGTTAACTGAGCTAACGTGTTCTGTAATGCAATGTTAACAATTTACATAGAGAACACATGTGTAGCTACGTTTTTTTAAAGTTAGCTTTTTGTTGATGGGTCTTTGAGAATGAGGTAATATCACAGGCTGTATATAAGAAGGGTAATTAAATGTTACAACTGAGCTCCCCTAGTGGATAGCAGCCGTGCCTATACAACTTCTCAACAAAAGACTTTAGAATAAAGCAGATGTACAATAAATTGTATCTGAATAAACAAACAATGAGGACGCCACGTATTCTCTCTCACAAAGATGCGACTGCCTCCAATATTGCAGCCAGGAGGCAAAGGCAAACAGGAACAATGACTTCAATAATTCATGGTTATTGAGCGCTCTCTGGTCTCCACACACATACACAGAGAAGTGAAGGGTGTGATTATAACCTTCTAATGGTACATTATGTCTGGAAGCCTTTTGATTTAGCTCAACATTGGGCCTGCACGGCATTATGTTCTAGTTTCATTGGATTTCATTGTACGAGGCAGGATATAGGACTATGTCACTGAGCCACATGAGGCCACTTCCCTTTAATTGTGTCAGTGATTACATACTGTTTCTGATATAAAGCCAGTGTGCTTAAGAGTAAAAGAGGGAGTGAACAGTGTCGAGCAGACAGTCCTGCAGCCCCTCCTGATAAATAATCTGGGCAGAAATCTTTCTTTTTCTCAGGTTTGTTTGTCTCTCTGTGAAATACACAGGATGCAAACCTCTGCCTATTTAAACACCAGCCTGTGTCCTCCACTAAAATTGTTAATTTGACTGCGTACATGGGCTGTGAAGGCCTGGTACAGAAATAACAGAAGGCAAACCGGTTATTTTAATAGATTTTAGGAAGGTCACTTTGAAAGTAAACAGACTTAAGTAAATGGTTTGAAATGATTCTGTTGTTTGAGAGTCGCGTTAGATTGAAGGTTTTCAACATCCAAACAGTTTAAATTGTGTATAAATAATGTCTAAATACAAAATTCAGTATAGGGAACATCAGCAAACAAACAAAACAAGATCATTGAGTTTTTGTGACTTGAGCTTCAGAGCGATACATCAGATGTGACCATTTTATCTGAGGCTGCAAAGAGGCACTGGGGTGGTTCTGAGCCTGTGCCCATACGGTCAGTTCATATGTGAAGTAGGCCTGCTGCTGCATGGTGCATCCCGTAAAGTGCAGACTCACGATGCAGCACACTCTACCTCTGCACCCAGTAAAACGCAGTGTCACTCATTTCTTGTTGCGTCTCACACGGTAAACTCTTCTCCCCTCATGAATGGACTTTTACCTGCTTGTGTAACTCACTTGGATTCGAGCTGTCCTTGCTTCACAACCTCCTGCCCGTGTGAGGATGATATCACATTACCAAAAAAAAAAAAGAAGAGAGAAACCTTGTTACTGCATCTTTCCCGTTGGGCAAACAAGGATTGTTATTCATGCGTTAAGCGCAGTGCTCGAGTCTCAAAAGACTTAATTTTCTGCAAAATATACTGAGCCTCTTACACAATCGTCTCAACGAGCATGGCACTCAATCTGACCTGTCCCTTGTCCAAGAAGACAGAGTGCTTCAATAAAGACTCTCCGCTGACCAAATTCTCTCCACGTGGCGCAACCTCCCTCTGAGCAGCCAGTGAACGAATCTCATCTGAGAGATTCATGGTTGTACTCAGAAAGAGAGAAGTCAACGCTGGAACAGGCCGCTTCGATGAGGCTGATTTATCTCAGGTTGCTGGTCAAAAGCGCCAGAAAAAAAGGGGATGGACGGAGAGAAGATGAGAGAGAGAGAGCTCTCAATCATCGGGTAAAACGCTCTCATGGCTGTATCTCCATCACTCTTCACAAACACACACACACACACTCCCTGCAGCATTTGAGCTACTCAGAAAAGCTTAAGACACAAATCTAAATGGAAATCTAGTTTGCTTGTTCCCTGTAGGTCTGCTGTAATTGTCTCTCTGTCAGGGTCATTAGAAAAAGGGAAAATGTTTCGAGTTCGTTTCCACAGGGAGTCTCGCTCATGATGGAGAGATGCACCAGACTTCCCTCAAAATGTGGCCTAAAGGGTAAGTGCACCTTGAGCTGCTGCCGGTAGCTCAGGACAGAAAGTGGGGAACATTCTGAGCTGTCGAGGTTACAAACCTGTGAGAAGACTCTTAAGAAGCAGTCTGAAGTGTCCTCAGATTGATAGCAGGACGAGATCAAAAGAAAAATGGCTTCTTCGCCTCCAGGGAAGGTCACTGCGGTGCCGTGCTGTGCACTTTTTAATGATCCGTCCTCTACGCCTGGAGTTTCACTGCATCGTCCTCAAAAGATTAAGTTGTCATCAATATGAGAACGTCTCGTAGACATTAAGTCAAAGCCAACATTGTTGACATCTTTGTTTTTGCAGCCTTCAGCGGGGTAAACATTGGAGCAAGAGAGCCATCTTTATTCTCAGAATAAGGGAGCACATTCACATACATTCTTTCACCTCTATGCCCTTTTTTTTTTTTTTTTTCAGAGCAAATAAGCATATTCCAACCTCAAATCATTCCAAATATTTGTGTACAGTCACAAGCATTCAAACGTTCAGGCTTGTGTGGAAGACAAACTATCACTGTACTGATTCGGCCTTATTTTTCCACCTCTGCATTTAACACACTCTACAATCAAAGTATTTAATGCCAGCGAGATGGCGAGGATACAAAAATATGGTTGGAAAATACAATCTCTTAATAACACGCTGTATTTGCTGACATGCGATCTTATTGGACCCCGCAAAAGAACATTATCTCTTACACCAGCGGGCTTATCTCATATCACTTACGATTCATTACGCATGCGGCTAATGCTTTTTGACACACACATATGCACAAACTTACTTAAAGCAGTGGTGCCATATGGCTCTGTGTTGTTGTACGATCCAACAGAGAGGATGCAAATGCAAGTCGTCACCCTGGAGAGAATTAAGCGTCACGTGCAGTGGACTTACAGTTTCAACCAGCAGAGAAAAGGCTTAAACAAGGTCTTCAGAGTGCACTGAGAACACACTTCACTACTGCGTGTAATCTACCGCTGCTGCTGCTGCTACTTCATTCAGTCTCTTCCTGTGTTTACAGCAAGTAGCACACATGTACACATAGTGCATGTTACACTCAATCTGAATCCGAGCAGTCAGAGGTTTTGGAGGACTTGTGCTTTCGTTTGCCTTTTCTCTTCTTGTCTTTCTTCTTTTTGTCCTTCCCCTTTTTCCTTTTCTTGCTGCGATGGTGGTCGGACGAGGAAGAGGAGCTGTCTGAACTGGAGGAAGTGGTGTCCTGAAGCATCTGCTGCAGCTGTTGGATCCTAGAAACAGGAAGGAGAGAAGAGGAGAGGAGGTGGGATTAGTGTCAAGTACAGGGAAAACGCAACCGATGCCCACTCGGATGCCCCGTTTTGGCGAGCATCTGAAGTGTCCTTGAGCAGGACACGGCCTTTGTCCTAGTCCCGGCATTTCCGGACTGTTCGCCAACTGCCTACTTGTGTCACATATTGCCAGTAATTTCCTCAACAGCGCCCAATTACCCGTTAAAACTGCAGGTGTGTGGAGGATTCTCAGAGCACACTGGGACACACCTGGATAATGGGGTCATCCCGTCCTCAGAGAACTAAAATAGATCAGATAACAAGGTGCTTACTTGAATAACTACTTGTCCACAGCTAAATACGGTTCAAGAAGGAAGATTAAAAGCAACACATCACAGAACGGGTGAGGAAGAACCACACTGCTCTGTGAAATAAAAAGGAAAGAAGAAGAGATGTGGAGTATTAGAGGCCAGTGGAGTACAATTACCTTTAATTAGCTCAGAGAAGTGTGCCGGCACACTGAGAGTGATGGTATCAGAAAATGTACAAGACGTCCAGAGAGTGTTTCTGTGAGGAAAAGGTTGACGTGCTCTTGTGAAGTGTCCATCAGGCCTCATTACGGAGCAGCGTGATCATCAGAGCACTCGGGATGTCATGCTACTCCTTCAAATGTACCGCTCATCCTCAAAGTGGACCTAAAGCTAAATTATACAAAGGTCTCTTCCCCCGGCTTCAAATACTTTGGTTTCCCTCAAATGCACTTTGGAAAGAGAATTCCTGCAAACTGTCCGCACTGAGATGATCAGAGGCTCAGTGTTTCAGTCACTGACCTTTGTCATGAGGCACAGCAACACATCTTCATACTAAAGCTGCAATAACCAACTCTCAAACACTTGAGACTGTTCCCACAAACAGTGTGTATAACAATCTGTGGAATACAAATGATAATAGAGAAGAATAAATGGGCTATGCAAAATACTTCATTTTGAGAACGCGCATCATAAAATCACCAAGTGAAAGTGGGAATATCTTCAGAACCTTGACCTTCATTTCTACAATGTCATCATTAAATGTTCTCAAGGACAACTTGAGGCACAATATGCAACTGGAAAGTAAACTGTGTAAAAGCTTTGCATCGAGCTTCCACAGAGGTGGTTTCTGGAGCTCTCGGAGAGCCGCAGAGCTGAAAAACAGGACAACCTCAGACGCCGCATTAGTTCAATTGGACCAGATTGGATCAGAGACCGGAGATGGGTTTTTCAGGACAAGTACCTCAAATTCAAACAACAACAACAACAACAACAACAACAACAGCCACCTTATTAATTCTAGGAACAGGAGCTCCGCCTCCTCATCCAAGTCTTACATCATTTATTTTCCATCGATGGCATTGTGTCCGGCCTAACATAATTGGGACTTTTCAATCATGCATATCAAAGATCGCCTAACAAAGGATTTAAAATAAATAAAAGAGACGCGACATGCGACATGCGACATGCAATCCCCCGTAGTACCATAGTAATAGTATGCCTTCACCGGCTCACAGCAGCACGGGTAGAAAGCAGGCATCAGACTGCTTTGCTTCCCTCTCAAAGATGATGCCAAAGTTAATATGGCACAGACACACAACTCAGACTTCAAAGCGCCGCTGGCCTTTGAATAACCTTTCTGTAATGCATGCAAAAAAAATACACACAAGCCTCCGTGCTGCTGCTCTGCATTTACACACACACACACACACACACACACACACACACACACACACACACACCGACAGTGACCCTTCATAATAGACAAACCTCAAATTCAAACACCCTGGCGTCAAACACTATTTGCTAGAAACGGGCACAGAGGAGCAGCCACCATGAGAGAGATTCCAGGTCATCTGAGGCTGTCCCACTCCACTGTGGGAGACCTGACAGCAGCCTCTAAACTGTCTCGTCTGTCCTTCCAATCTATTTCACTTTTAAAAATCTTATTCAGGGAAGTTACAGCAAAGGACTCGAACAACACGCGTGATTCCTACAAAATAAGAGTATGTACCTGGTTTCTTTTTCATTCCTTTTGTTTTCCCGAATGATGTCGTACATCGGGTCTTCATGAGCCTAACAGAACAAAATAAAATCTGTCATTACCTACTATGAAGAAACGGTAAAATTCAAACATAGTTCAATGAACAGTTGCTACTATTCACATTAGATCCAGGAAATTACCCCATCGACACATTCCAACCACTGATTCTAGTGTTACGTCAGCAGTTTTCTAAAAACCTCCCCACGACAGTACGAGGTATGACAATATGACACAGTTGCATTTATGGTAATGATTGCAGAGGCTGTGTGTTATTGCTCCATTACGGGCACATTGGAAGAGGCTGTGTGAAGACAGCCTCTTCCAATGTCTGCTCCCCACATGTTCCTCAGTGTAAACTAAACAAGCTTCAGATCTACCGTTACCCTCAGCCCAGTCTCTGTCACAGCCCGGCCTACATTCTGCGATACCTTCACTGAATAGCTTCGGGCTCATTTGTTCTGAGCAGTTAACAAACTCACCACTCTGAACTGCTCCAGTTTCTGGTTGCCTTTGATGAAGAACGGACACTCCTTGTCTCCTGTCCTGTGGCCGTAGCGCTTACATCGCCAACCTGCGGCAAAGGAAACCAATATAAAGCTGTGTAGTTGATACGACATCATTGCTATAAAATATATTAAATATGGGCATGGAAGTACATTGCTGACCTTGGGAACAGTGGTTTTACAAAATAATCTTTAAAAAGTTGCTGACAACAGAGAGGGAGACTTCATTCTCTGCTCAGGTGGACACTAATCCTCTCTTTATAT